AGAACGTGTTATTTGTATCATTACTTTATATAAAGATAGAACTTTTCACTAAATTACAAAATCTAAGTCAATTGCGTTATAAAGATATCACAATTTAATTTGGATTCTCGGAATTTTCTCCGACTCGGAAGAAAATACAAAAGATTTAAATAACACTTTACAGAGAAGATAAAATCGTATTATTAGATGAAACGAGGTGTTCTTCGTGTTCAGAATTGTATGAAAAGTTTTAATTTAAATGTATTTACTATATTTCTTTACTAAATTTTGTATTTTTCAAAAATATATTTTTTTGATCAGTTACGGCATATATGGCTTTAATTAATCTGTATATTTTATCCATATCCCAACCCTTCATAGCCGTCTCTACAAGTTATAAACTCGCTTGATAAAATTATTTTATAGATTGCTGAAAATTCACTTTAAGCAAGTTTATTGCATGTAGAGACAAACTATATATATGGTTTGGAAGTGGATAAAATACACATATTGGCTACAAAATATGTCTAGTATTAGAGAATGAAAAGTAGTTGATTGACGAGCCTTTCAACGCTGAAACAATTACAAATACTTACATGTAAATTGATTGTCTCAATGGGACATGGACACAGTTTTAGCAAAAAATTTTCAAATTTAATTTTCAATTTTAATTATGTTAACAAGCACTTACAGGCACGTAGCAACAAGGGGGCAGGGCCCCCTCCCCCACCTTTTTCCCAACATTACTTATACTGTAGAAACTGTTCATGGAAAGGCTGGTTGGCAATGTAGTATAAGAACTTAATACTGGAAGAAGTTGGCATTGAAAAAAAAAATTGGCTTCTAAACCACACACCCCCAACGAAAATGGATTTTCTACTTCGAGCAAATTTTTTTTCAAATTTTTCAGGTAAGTAAATATTTTTTTCTCTGCATGCCCCCCCCCCCCCCACCCCCAACTTTCAAAAAAACGATGCTACGTGGCTGACTTATCTTAGGTTTTTTGATGATTATCAAAAATTTGAATTTCCGTTGTCCAGATACAAGACATATTTTGAGTTCCAAACCTTTGTTTTGTAAACAAGGCTCGTGGCATTTATTAGTTTACATAGGTTCAATATTTTTAATACATCTTCATTGAAAGCGGATTTTTTGTTAAGAAATTAATTTTAAATAAGAAAAGACAATTCCTAGTGATTTGTTGAATCTTGTAATATAATGTATTTTCTTTATGTAAACAAAAACCTTGTTTACTTTATGAAAAAATAAAGTTATGAATCTTTTTTTGTAAATCGGCAAATGATGTTCAATTGTACTGATTGTTTTAGAATTACCATAATTAGAAATTGTAAGCAGTACTGTTAAGGCTTCCCGGAGCATTAAATGCATATAAAAACTTAACACTGCATTGCAAATTTGATTTTGAGTTTTAGTTTAAAGTAATGTACTTAAGTACGCCCAATTCACATAGAGAGTTCTCTAGGCTATATACATTTATAAACATATTTTTTACGATTTCACATGACCTCGTTTGTCACGTGACGGTCCTTTCTACTTTTTTGAGTGTTTTTTTTTTTATATTGATCGCTTCGGCGCAGGTGTTATTAACTTTTTGTCACATAGATAAACTCGTTGCAACGTTGTGAACCCAAAATGTGATTTGGAAAAGTTATACTGTTACTTTTGAACAACATATTTCACACTAACTTCAACTTGCCGACAGATCTGAGGGTATTTTTCCACTCAATATTGTCATCTGTTTTAAAACAAAGTCATCGTATATTTTTCCAAAGCAAGATTCAGTTAGAGGGTAAACGTTCTCTTACAGATTTCTGTAAAAGATATGAAATAAATCCTCGTTAATCACCAGCTTTCTGCATCTTTATATACAGATTGAAATAAGTTGTAAAGCTTATGACACTCTCCCCACCAATAAAGCTCAATAATGAAGTGTTTTGATGTAATTTTCAATTATGACGTCATATTTTTGTAGTTAAGAGAAGTGCATACACAGAGTACACTGCAATATTCTCTGGAAAACCTTATCGTATCTGCGTTAAAAATGAAGTCGGTTTTTAAAAGAAAATGAGTTGGAACAGTGTCCATGTCCCTTTATTGGTATTTGACGTAAGACTTTGGAGTAAATTTCCTCCTTAATAATTGAATTAAATTAATTCAGACGCATTTATTCTGGAATGATCCACGGCGTAAATGTGTCATTTAATAAACAAGAGGCTCAAGGTCCTTTTAAGTTACATGAATATCACGCAACAACTATTCAAAGATTGGATTTGGTTCATGTTTTAAACCAGATGCCTTAACGTTTAAAATTTGGAAGAGGTATCATTTCATCATAAATTTACACGTAGCAATTGCTTTCTTTGGTTATTTCATTCCCAAAGGCAGAGAAGGGAAACAAAAAATGTATTTCAACTGATCAATAGTTTTCAGCAATAATCAGTACACCACCACCACTCCCCCCCCCCCCCCCCCCCCCCCCCCCCCCCCCCCCCCGAGCCCTTCACGGGAACCCTTGAACCTAGGTCCACATATTTCACAATTTGGACAGGCTCATCATAAATGTCTAATGCCAAAAAAAGAGCTGATTTCAAACCATTAATTCATTTTCAGTATATATTTGAGGTCCCCACTATGTTCCTTTGATCAAGGCGCTTTGAAATGCACAATTCGGAAAGAATTTGGGTTCTTGCTCATCAAAGTAATATAGGTATTTAATTAGCAAAATACCACAGAAGATTTTCAAAGGAAGAAATAATGTATTTTCACAATATAATTTATGTAGTCCAGCCCTAACACCAGACCCTAACCCTGGGGCTTTGAGTTTCACTATTATGTGATGAGGCTCCATTCCTCATCTTTGGAAGAATCGAAGAATCAGTGATGAACCGGAAATTCGATTGCTTTAATAAAAAAAAAATGAATAGGGATAAAAGAATGATACGGTATTATCTATATCATAACGTTAAAATGAATGGTCTGGTTTTTTGTTCATGGTCCAATCTTTAAAATAATATCAAAGAACTTTATTCGGTAATAACCAATATTTGCCCCCCAAATCAAACTTTGATGGAGATATATTTAATTAAGTTCTTAAACAGGGGAGTATATGCTGACTTCAAAGCACTGAATATTTTCATAAGTAATGACGCCATATGTACGTAATGACGTCACAAACATGACGTAAATGCCAGTTTTTTAATGAATTTTACAGCAAAATGTACATATTTCGTCGATATTTTGAGTAAAAGTCCCCGAGCGCATGTGTGTTCAGGATCAATATTTTGATATAATGTGTAGAATGATAATATAAATGAAATATGTCAATATTGTTCCTGAACAAACGTGCGCTCTAAAAATTTTAAAGCTAAAATTGTTGAAATTTTTTACATTTTGTCCTCTTTTTGAAAAAGGATATAAAATTGGACTAGTTTGTGACGTCATCAAAACAAAAATTGTGAATACACTGCTTTGACACTTTAATATTTTCTGTTAATTTATATTTCTCATACAATTTATTGAATTCAGCACATTTCAAGGAGTTTTCAAAATCTGACTTCTGTGGGGGCAAATATATGCAATATACCGCATATAGTTCTTTGATATAGGTATCGGGGTTACTTTTCATGTGATGTGATTTCAAATTTAATGGCATGAAAATATCATAATTCCTATATAAATCTGCTAAAGTCGTAAAGTACGGAAAAAGAAAGTTGAAGGTTATTATGACGTCATAATGGATCTAGCACCATAGAATTATACTAAAATCATTTACTAGATCTTGACCTTAATTTTTTTTTTCTTTTTTTTTTGTATTCTATTTCAGATAGATTTCTGTTAAAAAAATTACATGCACGACATAAGGAAATGTATCGAAAAAATAAATTTTAATTCATTGAAATACAACTAAAATGAAGAAAAACTTTTATTACAAAAATTGCATTTGATGATAAGTGTATAATGGCCATCTGTGCATCTTTATACAAAAGGAAAAAAATCTCAAAACCGTCGGCATAAAGATAATTGCATGAATGGATTTGTACATGCTATAAATAAAATCTGCTCGAAACAGGCTAAATACAATGTCCTATGATTAAAATGATGTGTTAACAAATTTACATATTCAAAGAAAAATCAGATCGATTCATTTGGAAGAGTGTTTATTCTGAACAATGTTGCTTGCTGAAGCTTATGAAATGGTTCTTGTTGTAGGGAATATTGATATGACTGGAGTGATCCCGAATAATTTCCTAGGATTTGTTGACAGATACCAAGTATTTGCCACGAAATATCTTTATAGATATTTGGTACATAAACTCCATCATCATAGAGATGCAGAGTCTGTAGATCACGTAGAGATCGTTGTGACGTCACTGTGTCACCCAGTCTGTGGTGATTCAGTATAAACAGCATGTGTAACATCACTAAAGGGGGGATTTGTAATATATATATACCATACTTCATACTGACCTCCTGTTCTAACACAAGTTCATCTATATAAGTGTAGGAATAATAAAGATTAATATCTCTCATTACAGCTTTCCTCATCTTTGTACCCAATGTATTCCTTTCCATGCAATGCCTGTACAAATCTACATTAACATGATTCCTATACATGACATACGGCATTGACATTCTCTCCTGTGCTTTATGTAAACAGTTAAGTGAGTTTTCATATCTACGTGTTCCGTAGAAGTTAATAGCAAGATACAGAATGTCAGATAAATATCCAAACTTACACGATTGTTCAAGCAATTTGCATCTTTTATATAACGTATACAAAGCCTTATTGCAATTTTCTCTTTGATCAATTCTACTCTGTAAGAATATGGCAGTATTCCGTAGCACATCTGATGTTATACATTGTAAAGAGACTGTCTCATACGATGTAAGCCTTTTCCCAATCATACTTTGTATTTCTTTCATGTAAGCTGCAAATTCTTTGATTACTTCTAATTTTTTTATCTAATAAATACAATTCTTTAAATAGGTTTTCATCTAACTTTGTCCTAGATATAATACGGCTCTCGTCTGTTTGGACTCGCAGTGTTCTGTTCAATATAGCAATACAGAGGTAAGATCTGATTGTTTCACTTAATAGTTGACAAGATATCCCCATGCTATACAAATCATACAACTGACTGAACAATGGGGTTTGTACAGAACCAGTGACTTTCAGTCTAAACATGTTATTCTGTGGAATAAAAAAATGTGGACATTGTCCATTAAGTACCATGTATATCAATAATTTGAAACATTTCCAGAAACAATACAATAAGTTATCAGGTGTCCAAGACAAGGAAGTATTTGTCTGTATGACCCAAAATACAGTACTTTTTATGAAGTATGAGCAGAGAATTGTTGTACTGGTTTGACAATTAATTACTTCTTTCAGAAAATTCTTTCAGAAAAAATTTGAACCCCGTGGGGATCCGGGTTAGAATCCATAGGCCTAAATTTGCAGCCCTTCACCGGCAATGGTGACGTCTCCATATCAGTGAAATATTCTGGAGAGGGACGTTAAACAGTATATAATCAATCAATCAATCAGAAAAAATTTGAAAAGACCATAGCATAAAAACTGACAGTGATTCATTGAATAAGCGAGTTTCTGTTCTGCTCGAGAGAATGAGATTCTCCATTCTAGTTCATTTTCAGGTGTGCTTCCGATCGGTACAACATGAAATCCTCCGCTTAATATATCTGATAGAACATTCTGGTCTGGCCATCCCTGTTCACGACATCTCTGCATCCAAGGTAGTGCTAACTTTGGCCAGTGATGTGATTGGAAACAGAAAGCAAAATCAGTATCTGCTTCTTTGTATAGGGAATACGTAGAACAAGGTCCATGTGGGAAAGCAGAGAAGTGAGATACATTGCCAGACATTAAAAATTGGAAATAGTTATCTCGAAATAATGTACTTGAAATGCATGTATTTACATTGTTATGCATTCCTAAACAGGAAGATATGATTCTTGAATCATTTGATTGACTGATCAGGTTTAGTCTGGTAAATCCCGATGGAAGATCATTCCATTCCATTAAAATCACACAAATAAAATGTGTTAAGCTACTAAAGAGACTGATCTGAGAGAGATCACATATCACCTTGTGATCTGGAGGCCATAACATCCAATCAATGTCTGAAGTTCTCATTTTAAAGCCTTCACGTTTACTCCCACTCATCATTTTATCGAGTCCATTCATGATGTACACAGGTTTATTTACCATCTCCTCAGTGTCCATCACTTCTCTCCTGATCCTCACTTCTGTAGGACTCCCTACTTCACTACACAGACCTACATACACAGCCTCTGATAGCCGGGGTATGTGATTCATCTCGATAAATCATGAAGGAATAAAAAAGTAGATATCTGAAAAACAGATTACCTTGATACTAATTTTCAGTTTTATTTTCTATAAATAGCAAGAGTACTCAGCCTCTTGCGCTTTCACTTATAATTTGCATTATCTTTAAGGTCTCTATGAATCAAATATTTTGAGGAGAGCTTTATGACATGCACGAGTACATTACTTCGATGAATAGATAATTACTTATCAAAATACGAGTGGTTATCAAAACGTTCGTGGACTGAGCCTATAAAATTTATACAATGTCGTCTGTTCTTTCGAAATCTAAATGGAACATAAAACAACAAAAAATAAAGAAACGTTGAAAAGTTGAGCTTGATACGTTCATTTTTTTCAAAATTATTATAAATTAAAAACGACATCATATGATCACCGGCACTGTCGCCATTTATATTCATGACGTCCGACAACGTCATTGTTTTTCGATGTCCGTTTCTTTATCCTCATACACTTATTTTGAGATTCCCTGGAGTTGAGTAAGGACTTAAACCAGCCTTGTTTAAATGACTTTACAATATGTTATTAACAGAGACTTTCAATGAATTTAATATTTCAAATGGATTTATAAATTGGGTGTCACCCTCGCTTGATTGTGCCAACATATTTTGCTTTTGGGAGTTGAATATCTAGAACTCAACGTCATTTTATGACGTGATTGATATTACACACCTTGACCCCAAATCGACATTAATTAACTGAACATCCCTTTACTCTCTGAATCTCTTTTGACATTACAAGACAAGTACTCTGGATGCTTATTATTTCTCTGTAGCCAATTTAATCATTTCTAAGGTCTATACCAGATTTTCAGGGGCAAACCTTGAAAAATTTGGTAAAAGAAAAACCCTCCCACTTTTGACGTCATATTCAAGGCGTTATTTGTTTGGAATCTCCATGTTAAAATAACGATAAAATTTCATAGGACTTCCAGATTGAAGTAAAATCAATCCCAGATCAACGCATCAGTGAACTTACTGATCCTAGCTTATGTTTCATGTATAAGTACATTATGATCCGTAGATTAACAAAATAATATGTTTAATATTATCAGTTGACAAAATGATCAAAAGCACGTATAATGGGCATGTTGGGGGATAGGGTAAATGGTAAGAAATACCTCTAAGGGATACATGCATTTAGTTTGCAAAAAAAAAAAAACAACACTTTTTTATACCTGTGTCTGTAAATTTGTAAATTCGAATCTTTTCACATATATTTTAAAACGCAGACATTCGGTACCTTATTTCCTAAATGGCCAGACAAAATATTTCTTTTAAAATAAAAAAGCCTTACCTTAATTTAACTTTCGGTTTGTATCATGCATTCCATTACTTGTACTCTATTTGTGGAAATCAATGACAAATCACTATTTTTAGTAACCGGATAATATCGATGTCTAATAACGTAGATCACATTATCTGTAAATCGAGAAAACATTATTTAATATTAGACTCAGAAGACACAGAGAAGGCAAAGGTCGGGTCATTTAAATCTATTATATGTACTTTTTAATATAAACCTTTTTTAAAGTCAGAAAACTAATTTAAAAGTTCAAATTGAATAATAAGTAAGGAATTAATGTGCCTTGCGGTGTATGTTAGTTATATTTCATTATACTATTCGAAATAAAATTGTTGCCATACCAATTCTAATCGAAAAGCAAATATAGCAGATAGATTCTCTACTTTAATCTAAGGAGAAGACACTAGAATAAATTATATTGAGGTATACAATAAATAGACCAAATTATTCCTCAAATTCAGTTTTTCTGAAACTTTGATATTTTGTTCTAGGATACAAAATCTCTTGTTATGTATGATATGAAAAAAAATCAACCACAAATTTTTCGACCACATAGTTTGAAATATGGCCTTTCAGACTCCTGTCAGTAGATTGTGAAATCTGACATTCCACTCGAAAAGGACCCTTAGTTTAGAATTATCAATTGATCTATTGTAAATTTGTTTAATACTTTTAATATAGATAACTTTTTCGTTTGAGTAATGTTGATACTGGAAAATGTAAGTAAAATATTCAGTAAAAATAGGCATACATAGTGTCGGAATTGAAAATTCACATATAAATATCCGAAAGTTTAAGTTTCTTAAGAGAAAATGTATGATTCAATTTTTACAAAAAATCAATAGAATAATTCTAATGGATCCTTGAATAAAAAGTGCCAAAATAAAGAAAATTGAACCAGTGGATCCAAATATTTTGCCGGTTAAAAAAAAACCCATGGCAAAAAAAAACTAAAAGATTCAGTTGATGACGTCAAAATATTTGTCTTTTGTAGTAGATACAGAATGGAGACTCCTTATATATGTGTCCAAATATCAGCCATTTTCTATTCATGGAACAAAAGTTACACTGCATTTTATAACAGACTGTTACATGCTCGTTTATTGCTTTTAGATCGCGTAAACACATCATAAAATGTAAGCTCCCAAGTGACCAATATCTAGGACTCTCTGATTTTTTCACAAAATATGATGCAAACATACCAAAACTTATTATTTTTCTTATAGGGATAATTCATTGTTGTCAATATAGTAATATTAATCTTTTTTCCAGTACTTTTTAAGAAATGGGTTAAAATAGAATCCACGAGTGTTTTATCCTACCTTAATTTAAATTCTTCAATAACAGTGTTTCAATGTTTAAATATCACAGAGATTTCCCAGTTTCTTTCCAGAGCTACTTTCTATTCATCAAGATTATTCAACTCTCAGTATATAACTGCTTTCGCATATTTAAAATTCCCTGCTTATTTTAACATCAAGAAACATCTTAAATTTTTATAGACATTGTAATTTTAAACATAAGACTTTAAGAAAATGTTTATTTCATCAAAATAACAATGATACTACGAGCACACACAAGTAAATAGCCATTCTTTGTAACAACTTTAACTTCGTTGCCACGCATGGTCACTGATTTTGATGAAACTTCACCCATGCTTACTAGAAACAAATATCAAACAAAATTTCGTTGCTAAAGTGTCTCGGTTGCTATGGTAACAGCCGGAAAAATTTGAAAAATCGAGATTTTCAGCCACTTTAAATCTTGACTGTGGCTTAATAAAAACTAGAAGAGCAAACAAACCATTCTCACAAAAACATTACCCTTGATGTCACTTATACTGTAAAGAAACTGTTTAGAATATATCTCTAAGTAAGTGGTAAGCAAGGGTACTTTTGGAATACATTTAAAATGCTGAAATATGCTGAAAAACACTCTGTATTCACTAATGGTAGGTGTTACATGCTCAAACTCAAACTCAATCAACGACTTAAGAAAAAAAATGAAAATGTTTGACCTTAAGTATATAAGTATAAGCAATATTATTCTATAGATAACTTTTATGGTTGTCATGGTAACACTGTGTAACCATGCAAAACCAGTAACTTAGATTGGGTTAATGCTTCTGTCTTGAGGAAAAACATGAAATGTTTAGCATATATTTTCTGCTTATTTCCATAGCAGCGATCTATTTAAAGAATCTTATCTGAACTTTTTCAAATGGAAAAACTTGGAGCACACCAACATCTTATAAAATTGATCATTAGTTATAAGGAAATGTGCTTTTTTAAAAGATGGGATCAGATTTAAACATACAGAGTGTTACTTTGAAGGGTCTCTGTAGTATAAAAACCTTGGCAACCATTGCCAACCAAAATAAAATATTATATTTTGTTCTTGGTATATGTTTCAAGGCTCTTTTTTCTATTATTTGGTCACATTTCATCCTATAATTGCATTTTATTTTTACGTGTATGACTTCATAAAATTCAATGAATATTTTTTCTACTTTTGAATACTTTGTTACCATAGAAACGTATGTAAAAGTTGATTTTCCAAACATGTTTATCATGCATTTGAGACATCTGACCTTCAACTTTTGGAAATAGTCATTGCCAATTGTTTGCTTTGCCGCAAATGATAACTATCGGGCTCTAAACATGTTAAAAAATGCCATTCTTCAAACTTTAAGACATATTGCCATGGTAACTATAAAACACGGCAACCAATTTTTTTCCTGATCTCAGTTTAGGGTATCAATGACTTTTATCATAGAGAGTTTGGAGAAGTTCTGAGACTATGCGTGCCAAAGCTCCTATATAAAATTTTAAATCATTACAGAGAATGGCTCTTAACATTTGACATTTTTTAAATATTGAACTACATTATATTGTTTCTTTTGAATGCCATATGTACGAAAGCCCAGAAGGCTCATTCGAGATTCGAGATTCGAAATACGAGATTCGAAATTCGAGTTTCGAGATTCAAGATCCAAATTAACCAATCAAAAGGCAGGTTCAATTTTGATTACTCCCCTTTATTATGTTTTATTATCAAGAAATCGTTGAATATATTCATATCAAATGGGACATTTGCTTAAATGATAATGCAAGAAAAAAAGATATGTGTATTAAAACGAAATAAAAAGGAATTTTGGGTAACATTTTAGAAAATATATATAAATTCTTATTTTTTCTCAATAAACAAAACAATAGATACGTATATAGAATATTATATGGTCTTATCGTTGAAATGCGGAATTCTTACGTGTTTTTTTAAGAACATTGATGAGGGAGAAAATTATTATTTATATGAAATACTAATGAGGATACATTTCTTTATATTGTGCCCCCCCCCAATAATTTTATAATTTTGCCGATATATAAAATACTATAAAAATCATAACTACTATATTCTTGTGCCCCCTCAATAAAAACATCTGATGACTTTTTTTGCTTTGTTTATGGTCGTCAAGAAATGTTTGGTAGTTGAAAACTGAAAATTTATGGCTGTGCCCCCCACCCCCCACCCCCCACTGAAATGAGCATTATGGTTTTACTAGTATATTTGAGTCTTTGACCAAGTCGGGCGAGACCGGAGAGATTCCTTTTAAAAAATTATCGTATATATATTTATTGTATCTATTTATCACAAGATTGACAATG